CTTCAGAGGCGATTTGGTATAATCCTCATCCAGGCTCAACCAGACTATGTCGTCTCATCAAATTTTTATACAAATCGGAAACGAAGGAGATAACGAAATCCGAAATATCAGATATCCTTCAAGATGTAGATGCACTTAGACCAACAGTTATATACATTAACGACGGACAAATTCGTTGTGAAATTAAGCATGAAATGAGCATGACAATGTTGGATGGTAAGATATGCCAAGCTTTAAACGACACAGCATCTTCATCTTGCTACATTTGCAAAGCCACTCCAAAATTAATGAATAATTTAGAAAAACTTGCGGAGCTAGCAATAAATGAAAAAACGCTTCATTATGGTCTTGCAACACTGCATGCATGGATCCGCTTTATGGAAGCTATTTTGCACGTAGCTTACAGACTTTCTTTCCGCAAGTGGGCAGTGAAAGATGAAGAGAACAAGAAATCAATGAAAGCAGCGAAAGAAAGAATACAGAAAGCATTTAAGGAAGAATTAGGTTTATTAATAGATATGCCAGAGCAAGGTTCTGGAAATTCAAATAGTGGTAATACCGCAAGACGTTTTTTTGCCAATGAAGAATTGAGTGCTCGAATTACTGGCGTGGATGTAAACTTAATAAAAAGATTTCACGTTATATTGCAGGTAATAGCGTGCGGAAGAAAAATTAACGTTGAGAAATTTCATGAATTTTGTAAACAAACTGCGGAATTGTATGTAGCTCTATATCCATGGTACTACATGCCAGCTACTGTACATAAAGTATTAATACACGGATCCGTAATTGTTGAAAAGGCTATTTTGCCTATTGGACAGCTGACGGAAGAAGCACAAGAAGCGCGAAACAAAGATTTGAAAAGATTTCGAGAATTTCATACCGCCGCGGCGGTGACAGCGGCAATGCTGCACGATACTGAATTCATGATAGGTACCCGCGCCGCGCCGAATATTGTAAAGAAACGTAACTTATGTCCTGAAACACAGATCCGAGCAAACCGAACACTACTGCTTAGCGGAATAATCGAGGGAAACATTAAAATCCTCGGATCCACTGACGTTCACGTCATGGAATCTCCGGTAACCTTCCAAGTCGTAACGGACGACTTTTTTATCATGCAAGAAGGAATCTTAGGATCTGACTTTTTGCGGGGTGCTACGAAAACAAATTTTGCAAAACGGTCAATTGTCTGGCAAAATACGATAATACCGTTTTCACAGCGCCACACGGTAATTATCCTGTCGAGATCCCGTGCAATAATGCTATCCGCGTTGTAAATTCGACCTTAGCGGAAAGATATATTTCGCGGATCGACTTCGGTGATGACGTCTACCTAGGAGATACCATGGTCACCAACTGTAACGGAAAAGCCTTTATCAAAATAATTAATGTAAATGAGAGCGATCGAGAATTAGAAATTCCAGTAATACGGCTCAAAGAAATAGAATCCGTTTCCTCACACAATCCGAATTTTATACCGAACGACGCGCTTAATATTTCGGCCCTAAGGCTCGAAGTTTCACGCGATGAAATGTGTTCAAAAAATGAGTCGAGTAGCTTCGGTCTCTAAGCGCGAAGAGTGCGCTTAGGCCATCCCGAACAAAGCAGATAAAAAATCTTTTGAGATTTGATCATCTGAACTCGAAAGAAACGAACCATGTCGAGAAAATCATAGGTAAACACAACGACCTTTTCCAAATTCCGTCCGATAAACTCGAATGCATGAACGCAGTAAAATACAAGATCCCCACCATCAATAATCATTACACCAAACAATATCGATACCCTCCAATCCATAAGGAAGAAATAGACACGCAAATTAAGACTCTTAAATAACAATATCATCTTCTCTTCGACTCCTCTTACAATTCTCCTCTCTGGGTGGTCCCAAAAAAACCGGACTCTGTAATAATAGAAGGTAATAATAGATGGCGGATAGTGATAGATTTTCGCGCGTTAAATAAAAAAACAATCGGCGACACGTACTCGCTTCTCAATATCACCGAAATACTAGATTAACTCGGCAGTACTAAGTATTTCAGCGTTTTTTAATTGGCGTCAGGTTTCCACCAAATACCGATGCATGAGTTCGACGCGCTAAAAACGGCTATTTCCATGCCCTATGGGCATTATCATTTTAAGCGCATGCAATTCGGATTAAAAAACGCTCCGGCGACATTCTAAAGACTCATGGATCAGGTGTTGTTCCTTTGCAAGGAATAGAGTTATTCGTATACTTAAACGACATAGTACTGTATGCGAGTTCATTGCGAAAACACGAAACCAATAAATTAGCCAAAAGATTACGAAAGCGAATTTGAAATTACAATCAGATAAATGCGAGTTCCTGCACAAAAAAGTTACTTAGGGCACATAATCGGCAAGGACGGCATCAAGTCGGATCCAAAAAAAATACAAGCAGTCGAGAATTTCCCAAGGCCTTGTTGCCCGAAAGCTATAAAACAGTTTTTGGACCTGGCCGGATACTACCAACTTCTTGCCGGACTTTTCTAAAACAGCCCGTCCTTTGACTAATTTGCTGAGGAAAGATACAGAATTCCAATGGTCTGATACGAACAAACATTTATTTCACTTAAAAATTCTCTCTGCTCAGAACCACTACTTCAATAACCAGACTTTACATTATTATTCATAATGACCACCGATGTATCGAAACACGCTATCGGAGACATTCTCAATCAGAGTGAGATAGCAAGAAACGGACCCATTGCATATGCATCGTGCTTTTTGAATGCCGCCCAGCAAAACTACTTGACAATAGAGAAAGAGCTTCTAGCGATAGTAAACACAAAAAAGCGATATATAACAAAAAAAAAAGAAGTTTCACATCTTCCAATAATGACTATATACGCAGACTTTTCCTTCATTACTGATATCTTCAGGATTAAATAAAATGTACCAACCAGATACAGTACAGGAACAGTACATTAGAGATGTCGGCGAGTTTACTTAAAAATAACGGTAAGTTGAGTGTACTAATGCACATACAGGGTGGAGCGCGGGAACTTCCTTTTTTGAATTGGGCGCTGTTAAAGTGGGGAGCGTCATAGAGTGGTGGGGAGCGGCTCAACGGAAGGAGCTGAGTGGGAAGTTTTGTTCTATCATGTTTTCAGTCGCCATAATGCTTTGGTCGAGACAGCATCGCTTTTACTGCGGAGGCGTATTTTTCTAACAGCCGCTCGATCGATTAAATTGGCCTGCACGCTCGCCTGATTTAACCCCCTGTGACTATTTTCTGTGGGGTTATCTGAAGTCTCGGGTTTATAACGATCGTCCACGGACCCTGGAGGACCTGAAGAACCGCATCCGAGCCGAAACTGCCAATATACCGGTCGACATGCTCGAAAGAGTCGACCAAAACTTCCGAATTCGACTGAATCAGTGTATTGACAATGGAGGGCATCACCTACAAGATCTTATTTTCAAAACAGTGTAAAGCAAAATCTCCCACTATATGTGACAGGAAAATGGTAACAATAAAAAATTTTTAAGCATATGCAGTTTTTTATGTCATTTTCAAAAAAGGAAGTTCCCACGCTCCACCCTGTATAATAAGATTTAATTAACTGAATTTGAATATTGACTCTAAAACTTATAAAATGTTATTTATAATAATGTTTTATTAATGTAAAAATATGTTTAAATATGTTTAAATTAGAAAAGTTGTTGGATAGTTGCTTGTCCAACCAATTGTGGCGCTCGGCAGATCATCGACATGCGAGTCGCGGCCGATTGATTATCGACGAGTTATGTTTATGTTTGTTATTTTGTTTGCCGCTAGGCAAAGTTTGCCGCTAGCAAGTTTCTTTTGTTCTACCGCCCGTCACGAGTTAACGCTGCGAGTGCGTTCTTTTTTCTTACTGTACATGTTGTTTAATTGAAGCATAATAAAGTTTCTTTCTCTCACTCACCACTGTGTTATTTCAATAATAACTCACAACAATTTTGTTCGCCGCTAGGCGCGTATTCATGCCCTACCGGCAGGTTCTCCTTTTGTTACTAATTGTTCGCGTGTGTGCACGATGAGTCGTCAAGTCCGCATTGACCGAATAACACTTCTTACAATCTTGTTCTAATATTCTTTTATTCCCAACAAAAGTTATATAAATATTACTTAATAATTTTACATTGGTGGAATAAAATGAAATTATCACTGCCAAATTTGTATAAATTGATGTGCTATATTTATGCCATACCAATTACAAGTTCTACGCCTGAGCGTGCATTTTCTTCTGCAGGTTTACTTATTACATCAAAACATTTTGCGTTAAAGTAAATCAAAATCTAATAAAATTTTATTTATCCATGATAATTTCAAATTAATAAAAAATGTATATTTAAAATCAATAAAATAGGTATAAATTGTGCAATGTAGTAATGTGCAATATAGTAATGCAGTAATATGTAAAGTCTTTTACGCACATGTATAAGAAGGCTAATGATTAAAGTGATATTTATATTTTTGTCAAAAAGTTTCATATGTAAGAAGTCTAACAAGTTAAAGCGATTTATATTTTATTTTAAAACACATCATTTTGTCCCTTTTGCAGTACGATGAGAATAGAGGAATATGTGCATCGTTCTCAATGTACGTTGAAAATCTAACGTTACTCGTCCTTCGGACGAATCAATAATCCACCAATACTGCGTCTAGAAACAAGTACAGCCCGTCTATCCATATCAAAAAGCATTGTACTCAATGTATTTGTTGGTGAGATCGCGATTCACACCAAGTCGATACATCGATATCGATCGCCATCTGCGCTACGATGGCGATTCCTTTGTTTCTCGTACTGCTGCGCAGTACTCTGTTCTGTTCGACACGCGACCAAGATCACACGCGTTTCACTAGTCTGTACCTTCGCTCATTAAATCCGACTCTCTTTAGTCCGTGCTACCTTCGTATATCCACACGGCTTCAACAGTGTTTAGACAAAGTACAAATTGCGAACGGATAGACGTCTTTACCAGTCGATACACGCTTCGTAATTCGTGACGACGTCGTCATTATTATTTGGCGACACTCGATGTCGCGGCGGAAGAATAGACCGCGACAACTTTCGGCGATCGACCGAATCACTCGATTCGGGACGATCGGCCGTTTCCGTCTTGTCGGCAGAAGCTCGGTGCCTACCGTAAAGAGAAGCTCGGTACCTTCCGAAAAGCGGGCCACGATTCGCGCTCCACGAACTCGGAAGCTTTCACACCGCACGCGGCCATTGTTAACAAGGCAAGACGAAATAACGCAAGCAACGCTTCGGTTCGAGAAGGCATTGGATCCTCGTACGACACGCGTTCGCGAAGTGCACGAAGAAATAAGACAACGAAATTGGAGCTAATCTCCGCCAGACAATTTCTCCGCATGTGCACCGCGCGTGGCGACTGATCACGTGTAACGCCGGTGCTCCGCGCGTGGCAACCGATCACGAGTGTATCTATTGTGCAACTAGTAAAACCTTGTTCAACAATTAAGTGGTGTCAATTCCGCGTGGAACAAACTCAATTCATCGCCTCGTGCAATCTTTTTCCTTTCCTTCCGTAATTTCTCGTTACGAGATATTCGCAAACCAGCTCCGTTAGTTACAGTTCTTGCCTACTTCTTGCATCAAAGATTGCAAGACTTCTCACGCTGTGCAAGGACCCTTCACGTTCGGTTTCATTTACTTGAGAAGTACCGAAACTAATGGACATCAAACAAACAGGTTATGGGCCCAGTCGCGCCCGGGAAATAGATATACGAGTGAAAGTAAGAAGAGAGAGCCGAAGTAAATCGGTTTTGGCCTTTCACGTGACAAATAGATTAGAGTGACTTGCAAAAATGAGTGCGGCCGGCTTAACGCGCATCGAGGCGCTCGGCAAGGACAACTACGACACGTGGAAACTGCAAATGCAGGCGATGCTGGTCAAGAACGACGCGTGGGCGTACGTGAGCGGTGTTTTCGCACAACCGACACACGTGGCCGGAGACGCAGCCCCGGCGAGCGCCACGACACAGTGGAAAGTTAACGACAGCAAGGCCAAGTCGGACATTATACTTTCCATCAGTCCCAGCGAGCTGAAGCAAATCAAAGGATGCGAGACCTCGAGGGACGTCTGGCTGAAGCTGGAAAGCATGTACCAGTCCAAGGGGCACGCTCGGAAAGCCACGCTATTGAAGCAATTAACGCTGCAGCGAATGGAAAACGGCGGCGACGTGCGCGACCACGTGAGCCGTTTTTTCGACGCCGTCGACAAGCTTGGTGAGATGGAGGTCGAAATTCATCCCGACCTGCTATCTATCATGCTGCTCTACAGCCTGCCGTCTAGCTACGAGAACTTCCGGTGCGCGATAGAATCCCGCGACGAGCTACCGTCACCGGAAACGCTACGTGTAAAGATCGTTGAGGAAAGTGACGCGAGATCGAGTGACGCAGCTCGAGCTCCCGTGCAGAACACGCTATACGCCGACAAAGGCGGAAAGAAGGCGCGGAAGCCGAGACGACCCACCAGGAAGACAGCGCCGTGGGCGGCGAGTTCAAATTCCGCTGCCACAGGTGCGGCACAAGGCAGCCAAATGCACAAAGAACGTCAAGAGTGAGAACGACTCGCGCGAGAAAGAGAAGAAAAGCGACGCGACGAGTCTGCGCGCGTTGATATGCCCGAGCGAAGAGGGGGGGGGGGGGGGGCGCTACGCGCGTGCCACACGCACAGTGACGTGCGATAGTGCCTGGACAGGCGCCTCTCACCTGAGTAACTCGGCACTCGACTTCGACACGATCCGTGGCGAAACAGGTATCGAATTGAATTTGGCAAACGGCTGCTCAACGAGCATACGTGCGAGAGGTGAGGTATCCCTAAGCGCAAACGTCCTAGGTAAGGTTTTCGTTTAATTGACGCCCTACATGTTCCTGACCTGCGAACTAACCTCCTGTCGGTCGGAAAGATCACTGACAAAGGGTATAAGGTCATTTTCAACTGGTCGCCGATCGCGTGAACGGATTGTATTACGTACGCGACGCAATGAGCCGTTCGAGCAATGGAGTGGGGGAAGCAGCATGCCATTCTACGGATGTCGAATCTCTCGAAACATGGCACCGACGGCTGGGTCATCTGAATGAGAGATACTTACTGGAAGCTGTAAGGAACCAATCGATGCTTGGCATCAAACTCTCGACACCCAAGGGGAAGTTGACATGCAGCACTTGCGTGAAGGCCAAGATGACAAGACCCCCTTTCGTCAAGAAGAATGACCGCGTCACGCAAATACTGGAGATCGTGCATTCCAACGTATGCGGCCCTATGCGTATCGAATCGCACGGACGAGCGAAGTACTTCGTCACCTTCATTGACGACCATTCCAAGTGGTGCGAGGTACGTTTCTTGAGGTCCAAGGGGAAGATCACCGACGTTTTTAAGGAGTATAAAGCTCGGATGGAGAATCTGAAGGACAGGAAGATCAAATACCTCCAATCGGACAACGGGACGGAATACAAGAATCTCGTTTTCGACACCTTCCTCGCCGAGCATGGGATCGCGAGAAGGCTATCGATACCCTATCATCCGGAACAGAACGGGACTGTCGAACAGAAGAGAGTACTGCGCAGCAGTACGGGGAACAAAGGAATCGCCATCGTAGCGCAGATGGCGATCGATATCGATGTATCGACTTGGTGTGAATCGCGATCTCACCAACACGCCCCCTCGATTTGTACAAAGCTTCAACAGTATTTAATCTCGAATACTGTATAAATTGTCTCATTTCCTCCTTAACCGCAATGACCGATAACGGCGACAAAAAATTTTCGCGACTTCTCGCTATTGCGTCCACTGTCACGGAATCTGTGAACATCAGCTAAAAATGATGTATGATAACGAATCCTTCGACCGCGACGACATACTTGATTGCGAATTGATCGCTTTGGTCTTCAGAGAGCATTAATTGTGTATGTTATTTAACACTAACAATAAAACTATATTTTAAAATATAAAAAAGTATTTTATATCCCTATCTTTATATATATCTTTAAATAAAGGAGAAAAAGGAAATTCGTGCTGACGCAAACTTTAAGGAAAAAAAGTGGCAAAAGGAAAAAGGAAATGAGTGTAGAATCGTGTGATATATATAGTTGTCACTCGCGCTGTCACAGACAATCAATCTAGCTAGGTTTTTTTAGTGCTTCATACAGTTTTCAGTGACATACATTATGCGATGAGATACAAAATAAGTGATCTGAAGAAACTTCTACATATACAATACGAATATCTAGTAAAAGGGGTAAGTAATTTTTTATAACAATTTTTTATTACTTTCATCTACTTTTTTTCATTTTTTTTGCAGTATTTGATGGTTGACAACGAACAAGTTGTCAGACTTCAATTAAAAACGAACTCGGGGTGCAGATCATCCCCTTGGTAAGTTTTTTACTGTTTTCTTCTCGGTTATTTTATACCCACTATTACTAAATACTTACTTCCTTTTTTTACCTTCTTACAGCCTATGTGGTGTGGCACACGCCACATCACCATTCGTGGATTCACCAATCACGAGCAGCGTCGCTGGATACGCGCCCTGCGATGATGGCACAGGGAAGATTGCCTTTACGATATGTGGCGAGACAGCTCCCCGTGCCACGAATATTTATTCGAAGCCATACGAGCTTCCATTTGAGTAAGCTATTTCTCTTATTATATATATATATTTGTTGGAATGTATCGTTTTGTAAGCAAGCCTTATGAGCATTAGCATACGCGTAGAGATGTGCGCGCGCAGGGAAGCCCCGCGGCTTGCGCCACCACGCGGAGACTTGTTTCTAATAGTCAGTCTTTGTAAAGCTCTCCTAGCGTGGAGACGTGTCAAATAAATATTATTTTGTCAACCTCACCAGCTATACCTGTGTTTGTTTATCTCCTTTTGTGTTACTCTAACAGGTTATGGGCCCAGGACTTGGTGTCAAATTACGCGTAAACTCAAGTAATTAAATATTACGGCGCGAAGCACGAAGGCCAAAAATGAATAGCCAACACGGGTACGCGAGAATCGAGTTGTTGACAAAAGACAACTTCGATACTTGGAAGTTACAAGTTCGCGCAGTGCTTGTGAAAAACGATGCGTGGGGATACGTGAACGGCACGAAGACGAAGCCTTTAGCGAACGAAGCCGATGCTGCAACAATGGCGGCGGCGGCGGCTTAGGACACCGCCGACAGCAAGGCACACTCTGAATTGATTTTGGCGATCAGTCCGTCGGAACTGATTCAAGTTAAGAACTGTGCGACGTCAAACGACATTTGGACAAGATTGCATGAGATTTATCAATCTCAAGGCCCAGCGAGAAAAGCCACGCTGTTGAAAAGGCTTACGTTACACAAAATGGCGGACGACGGCGACATGCGCGAACACATCCGATCCTTCTTCGATACCGTCGGCAAACTGCAGGAAATGGAAGTGGACATCAACAAGGACCTGCTAGCGATTATGCTACTCTACAGTTTGCCACCCAGCTACGAAAACTTCAGATGTGCGATTGAATCGCGGGATGAGCTGCCCACGCCGGATGCACTGAAAATAAAAATCATGGAGGAAAACGACGCACGTCGAGCGACATCGAAAGAAAGGTGCCAGAACGC